TGCTCAGTCAAAGGGAAAAACACATCTGAGTGAAGGAGAATGGACCTGAGCAGCAGAAGCACCTCAATTCTCATATTTGTGTTCTGTCACTCATTTTGTGCCAAAGTGTCTTGGCTTCCAGTGCAGGATAGCCTTCCTGTGATGACTGGAATAACCATGCTAACTTAGGAGTTTATTTATTACTCATCCAGTACTGTGCTACCTTCCCCTTGCATGACCTGACTCATACGTTATATTACTAGTAAAATTTCTGTAGGGTAAGATGACCATTTAGAGTAGCAACGAGACTAGCACAGAGAAGACAGCATGACCAAGTTGTTCAGAGGTGCTGCTCTCCAGGGAAGAACACTAGATGATGCCTGTGCACCTAGACCACCTCTCTGTCCTGGGCATGCTGCTCCTTGGCACCAGGAACAACATATTCACTGCTCTTGGTATGGACAGCTCCTGATACTACCTTGTCCAGAAGATTACTGGAAATGTGGAGAGAGCACCCTATCCTGTATTGCATTAATGTATATTTTTTTTTAGACTGACATCTAGAGATGTCACATAAACTTTTTGTCTCTTACTGTGGCAGGAAGCAGTGACGTTTTGTATGCCATTGCTCAACTTGCTTTTCATCATACCTGTGCAATAACCCAACTGACGCCATCAGCGTGTCCCAGATTACTGATCAGTATTCACAGCTGCAGTTTCCAGTGATGAAAAGGAGCAGGCAGAGTGGGGGGAGCATACAGAGGGGGGGGGAAACAGAGAAAAAAAATTTGGATGGTAGGAGTTGATTTAAGCAGAGCAATATGAAAATACGGTAACAGAACATTGGACCCCATTGCAGATGTACTGCAAACTTCAGTAGCTTCAGCTGGACTGATAAGTGATCTAGCGTCCAGTTCTGTTTTTTGAACCCATGGTATGGCCATCCCCACACTTGGTCAAACTGCTGTTGATTGTGTAGCAGAAATACAGGGCTTTTGCTGCCTTCTCCTCAAGATCACTTTAGTGCTGCTGACTGACTAACTAGGTAATCATTTCCCAGAAGCAAAAGCTTAAATTGAACAAGTCAATATCTACTTATTTATCCATTATAACACATTTTGGTCAGCAACTTCCTTACCATCCACTTTTGACTTTGAAGTATTTCATCACACAGATTCGTAAAGCAGTATGTGATTTTTGGTAATTTCATGTATGTTGCTCTCTCCAAGGAGGAAAGGATTCTGTCCTACTTAGATGTTTCGGGGTGATTTGTGCAATAACTGAAACTTGACTGACATCTGATGTAATGTACAATCAAAACGTTCTGTTACAGTTTTGCTACAGTATAGTATGCTTCAATGTAATTTATTATTTTCCAGTGAGAACCATGACTAATTACTAAGTCTGAAGCCAATCATAATACACAAATAGCAGCAGTTTACAGACATGGCAACATGGCAACTATAGGCTTTTGGGTTGTCAACTTTGGTTAGTTTGTTTAATGTTATATGCAGAAAAAAAGGGGAAGGCAGAGAAAGAAGAAACATAAGAAATGTTTTGTCTTATTTCTACTGAATAAAAATCCTTCTGAGATTATGTTGCTACCAACAGCACTTCCTGCACACAAAATTACAGTATTCGGTGAATATTACAAAATAAGGTTAGTTATCATCCATGTCTTTTACAGCATATGGTGTTAATGGATTTCAGAGGCTGATAAATGCCTTTATAGACTGGAAAAACATGGGGAAAACATAAGAGCTGGAAAATTCAGTCTCTACATATAAAGAAGGCCATCTAAACAGGCTTAGTTGCATTTTCCTGTCCATCACCTCATCATGGTCAATCTTTAATACTAATCTCAAAGAAATGATAAGGGATGCATAGAAGAAGTCACACGCACATCTCTTAAAACAAAATTTATCTTTAATTTGTAAGTGTCAACAGCAGTACAAAAGATGGAGTGATGGTGAATAGATTAAGGGTAGAGAGGACAGTCTTGAGGTAAATGAGCATAAATAGGCAGTCTTATAGACACTCCCCTGAGGGGTCTAAACCCCTATCATGGCATATACTGTATCACCCAAGGATGACATGTTTAACATATCAGGAAAGCACCTTGTGCAAAAAAAAAAAAAAAAAAAAAAAACAAAAAGGAAATTAAAAAAAATCCCTCCCACCCGAAACATGTAGGTAAGGTGCCAACGTACACCAGAACATACTGTATATGGACAGTGTCTTTCAATTTTGTCTTTTCCATTAATAACTGAGGCAGAGGAGGAGAAGACTCTTAAAAGTACCACTGAAAGATTATTTAATATTTAATTTACCTCACGTCAATACTGCACAACAAAATCCAAGAAGTCTGTTTATGCAATGAAGCAGAGCTAAGAATAACTATTCTCTTCTTTAATCTGAGAACAGATTTATTTTTTTTAAATCAGTATCCTTAGCAAACTTTTTTCTTTTTTTTTT